CACACACACACACACACACACACACACACACACACCGCACGCGCTCGAGCATCAACTATTTTGTGATTTATGGTATTCTGACAGTGACAATATTCACCAAAAATCTATAGGTTCAACGCATCATTCACCGTGGCCGCTTCTCTACCATGAACCATCCCCGGCCCTGGGATTTTATCGGTCTGCACGAGAACTTCACTCACCCACAGGTGCTGCTCAGCCCGTACGTCAGTTTGTACTGTGTCACCGAGACTCATGCCTACTTCTTACAGGTTAGTGAAATGTTCTTGAAAATGTTTTCCACGCTATTTGCTACCTCAGAATTACAAAGGTCTATCTGCTAAGAACCTGGTTTTGAGAAATTCGACGTCAAAATGTTTAATTTCACGACGCCTTAAGCTTTTTCGAATGCAATTCTTTGAATATCTTGGTAACAACTCCGTAAAATCTCACGCTTTTAATAGAGCATATTAGATCTACAGAAATTTGATTTCTGACCTCTTGGTCTCAGTTACACAAAAAGGCCAAAAATGTCAGATAGAACTGTGCAATTCTTGGGTACCGTATTGTCTGTGTCGTGCAAGCTCATGCCGTCTCCATCGCTAACTTTCACTTCGCAAACCTTTCAAAGAATTTGTTAACAGTTGGCATGGGGGCTGTAACCATTTATTGACCTTAGATCTAATCAAATATGTTTTTGTATAGTTCTACGAGGGTTTTTTTCAGACTGGCCTTATAATATACTCTGCCTTTTCGGACTCAATACAGAAGCTCATGGGAGCCCATACCTTAAGCTCTCAGGATACATAATATTATGTTATTTCAAGCCCTGTAGACAGAGTGTAAGCGTTTCTTTTAAAAGAAATAAACATCTCGGTAAAAGCACAGTTGACACAAAAGAATACCACCTCAACGGGAAAAAAACTCATCAGAAAATAGAATGAGATTTAGAGTGTTAAGAAATTACTTTAATAGTTTTTAGCAGAGCTTACTGAAACGTTGAACAATATCATAGCCTACTTGCAGTACGGGATACTGTTTGAAAATATGGAAAGTGTTTATTGGATTGTCCATTTTCAGCATATGTAGTTACTGTGAGATTCATATCTACACATATCAGTCGAAAGTCTCAGTCGAAGATATACCCCAATTCATATCACCAATCCCTCCCTCCCTCCCACCAACAGTCCCCATATCCTTTCCACCTTATTCCCTGTTTACAGTGATGATAATGATGATGATGATGATGATGATGATGGTGATGATGATGATGATGATGATGATGATGATGATGATGATGATGATGATGATGTATATAACTACATAAATGTATAGCTCTCATACCCATGCTTCACAACCTGCTCAGTAAGCGTTTCAACTAAATTATCCTCCCCCTCCCCTTTCCAGGCTAACCCTAAAACGCTCAGAAATATTCTTAGCTGACAAGAAAACATAGCACAGTCTGTGTGGCAATGTTTGATGATGTGTACCATTTCCTTTCTCTCTCCAGCACCCCGATGATGTGGACGTGCACCACTCACGCACCAGTCCCTTCATGTACATGGCACAGTTTGAGCACGCTATCACGCTCTACTGTATCCCTCTGGGACACTTTCACAAGTACGTCAACTTCAACCCCCACCCACTGCACCCCACCTCACCCCAAGGAGGTTGGACGGTCATAAATAAACACATCCCATTCCCCGCTCCTCGTTCTTTAGTAAGACCTATGGCACTATTATAATGGCACCAGCGTCGTAGCTTTGATCTGTTTTGGTGATAAATCCTCTTCGTCTAGAATTTTGCATTTACAAGAACCTATTTTGTCTAGCATAGCGTAACAGTGTTAAAGTTGTATTCAAGTATTAGAATAACTGCCAAGTCTTGCTATTTCACCAAATCTGTTTAGGCTTACGTTTGTTGTTGCTTTTTTCTTTCTTTCTTTCTTGTTATCTTTGAGAGAAGGGGGGGGGGACGTCTATAGATTCTGATCTGTCTATAGTATAAATCTTTTTACGGGTTTCTCTCCGAAAGTCGAAGTAGTCACTTCATTTATTTAGATCAGTTGATATTCTTATGCCTTTCTAAAATCTGTCCTCCCTCAGAAATCAATTCTAGAATTCTAGTTTTCGGGACCAATCGACACGAGGGGTATTGTTTTATATTTGTTTTCAGACTGGCAGATGAAGTGGGTAACCCCCAAATCCCCGTCATCTGGATCTCTAACACCGGCCGGTGTGGCTCTACTTTGCTCGTGCAGATGTTGGAGAATGTCCCAGGTACTCGCTGCATGTCCGAGCCAGATGCACTGACCAACATCAGCCTCATGGACAGGTGAGCAAAAAAAAATACTTCAGATGATCATATTCCCCTCTATACATTTAGTTCTCCTTTCTTTCTCGTCACGTCATTCCCTCCTGCAAAGCTTTAACCCTTCTCTGCCTGTTTCGGGTTCTCTGGTTGGACTAAAAATAGAACCGAATTCCTGCGTTACATACAAATTATTTTATATTACCAGTCGTTTCTACGTGGCTTGATGTCTTTATCCGTCCCAGCTGAGAGGGGCTGGGAGAGGAAAGAATTGGCGATATACCCCCCTTACCCCGTAAAAATAAGCCCTTCACACTCACAAATACACACACGCACGCACGCACGCACACACTCACACACACACACACACACACACACACACATTCACACGCATACGTACCTTCCCCAACTCTCGCTTCTTTTACTCACCTCGTATATTCAACTCCCCATCAGCAAGCAGAACAAATTCCATACGCCACGCCTACACTCAGAAAACCTAGGCCTACACCCTTGCACAAAGCACTCACACTAGCATTTACATGCAACGGTGACAATCAATTTTTCTTGTGTCAGGAATCCTAAGGTATACACCAGAGAGAAAAACAAAGCATAACTATGTTTAGAATAACTTGTACACAACACCCTATGATTGTCTTTATGCAGCAATTTCCACCCATAAACTCTTGAATACTAACAGACAAGTAAACCATAGACAAATGGATGGATAGATAGATAGAAAGGCCGACAGAAATATACAGAGAGAAAGAGAGAAGGGGGTGGAGGGGTGCGGTAATATGTGTGTATTTTGCGTGTTTGTGTATTTTGTTAGGGTTAGGGTTGTGTGGGGGGTGTAAAGAGAGAGAAAGAGAGAGAGAGGGGGAGGGGGGGGAGAGAGAGACACCCAGACAGACAGACACGCAGACAGACAGACAGACAGATAGACAGACAGATAGGCAGACTGACAGAGGGAGAGAGAGGGGGAGAGAGGGAAAGGAATTGACCACAGAGTTTTACAATATTCCCACAGAGCGGAGCAAATGAGTAAAGAAGGCATCAACAAGGCCCTCTGCAGCACTATCAGAATGTTGTGTAAGCCTGCGCCCGGCATCCAGCGAATCGCTATCAAGTCTAGGTTCAACTGCGTCACGGAGGTAGACCAGGTCATTCAACTCTTCCCAGAGTTCCATCATTTGTACATGTACAGAAACATGGGCAATATCATGAAGTCCTATTACAAGTTCCTTCACAGAGATCTGGTCATGTGCATGCTTGAGTGGCTTGTGAACAACAATCTTGTCTCTCGACTAATTCCTTATGTCAGGAACTATCTTGTCCATTTCATTGCTGGAGAGGAGAGCAAGAAGAGGGCAGTCCGACATCTTGCTGACGTCAACTTTATGGGTTACGTCACCACGTTTGTTGGTTCATGTGTCGTAGAATTCCAGAGGCTTCTAGAAACAAAGGCAATCAGCATGCCCACTCTTCACTACAACGACCTAATGCGTCGTCCGGTGGAAGTGACCACCGAGATGTTTGAGTTGCTGTCACTGCCGTCTCACTACGTGCAAATGGCGCTCACGGCCATGCAGCACGACACTCAGAAGGGTACAATCCTCAGCAACATCAGCAACAGCAGCAACAACTTGAGGAAAATGACAGGACAAGATGTACGAGACATGAACGTCATGCTGTCTGTGTTGGGTCTTCCGGACATGAATGAAGAGTTAAGACTGCCTAACGGAATATGCGGGTAGTGTGAGGACAATACAAGGGATAGATCTACTGAACCCAAAAAAAGAAGAAAAAGTAAGCATGTTGATCATAATGACAAGGCAATGCTCTATTGAAGAACACTTCTCATTCAAACCAAGTGGAAGCAATGAAAAACATTACTCTTTGACAGGCTTAGATTCACCTCTTTATATTAACAGATTAATCTCAGTCGCCACGGGCATTTTTAAATACTTCTATTTATACCTATAACACTGAAAACTATTGAAGAGTGTGACTTTCATGGACTTCTGGTCTCTTCCGGGGCCCATTTTCATAAATCCATTTGATGCAATAAGTGCAATAACAGTGTGAGACATGTTTGATATTGTCTTTGTGGGAAAAGATTTGGATTCTCCACAGGAGAACGGACCAGTGGCGTGAGTCATGAAGGAAGAGGGCAAATTTTAATGATAAGGTAGTTCTTGTTGAACAACTGCATAAAAGCACGTTCAATGTATCTCCCAGGGAAAATTTTAGTGTGAATGAGATTTGAACAAAGAATTTTATGGGGTGATGGGATGGGGATCGAGTCCAACAAAGGGATCCGGGTTCAGTTATGAGCTGCAAGAGCAATACCGTGGTAAGATGAAATAGCATTGACATCCTGCAGTCATAAACGAACGAGTCTTACAAACAGCTCAACTAGACCGAGGAGGACTGGAAGAGCCTGTAAAGTAAAAGTATTGTCACCCTTAACTATACGAGAATACTAGTAAGTGCCATTTTGCAATATCAAAGCTAATGGAATAGTCGAATAGTCGAAGGGGCTTGGTTGTGTTCAGACAAGGAAGCGGGTGGGGAGGGGGGCGTCCTTTTTCTTCAATATGATCAATGTGCTTATTTGAGAGCGTGTTTGTGTGTGTGTGTGTGTGTGTGTGTGTGTGTATGTGTGTGTGTATGTGTGCGTGTGTGAGTGTGTTTGAGAGCCCCATTGTCTTGACTCTTTTCATTAGTGACGTTACGAATACGACTGAAAATCAAGAGAAAGAAAACGTGAAAACAATACGAGGATGAAGGAGTATTAAGATTTCATTATGTGTTAGTGAATGTGTCGTGAAAGAGACGAGGAAAGAATACAACCCGGGTGAAATATTTTATTATTATGTTTTTGCTGTGACAAGGGGTGAGTAGAAGCTTCAGCTGATGACGAAACAAGATGGACGGCGATGAAACGAGCAATTAAAACTTTACTTTAGTGGTCGATCTTTTATTATGTAATGAAAAAATAGAAAGGTTAAGTATTCATTATAAATTTGTTTTTTATCTGGGTTTTTTCCATGGTGGTTGTATATAAAATATATGTACCCATTTTTTCTAAAAAATTTGACTTGTCCTGCCCGTGTATGTGGAGTAGCGGTTAGACGCTTTGCTGTCGCATGCAGGAGACCCGAGTGCAATTCTAGTATCTCGGGCAGGGAATCTCTCTCAGCAGGGGTTGGTGTTGGAAGGCAGGGTCGGAACCCCGTCTCCTCACTGATGTGAATTGGTCGATGGGGGTGTAAAAACACCAACATGTTTTAAAATTGACTTGCTCTCTTCCCGATGAAACTTTGACCGCTGAAAAAAGTTATTGATCTGAGTAATGACGATAGGCACTTCTCCAAACACGGATGCTAGACAATCTGTTTACTCCAGGGTCAGTCGCCTGTTGTTGTTATTATTAAACGTTCCGAAGTTTAGTATAGTCTTGTCTCTTTGCTGTTGTCCTTTCTTTTGATGTTGAGTGGTTTGATAATTGATCCAGCCATTTTCATTCGCTGATTTTTTTTTTTGGGGGGGGGGGGGTTTATCATTTGGTTCTTTGGTCGGTATATCAGAACTGATTGCCACTCTAGTAGTTGCTAGTCGTTGCATATTTTGTTTTGTTGGCTGCAAGTTAGTAATATGAGCAGCGAACAATTGCAGATTGTGTTGGGTTTGTTTTGATTTGTTGTTGTTGTTGCTGTTGTTTATATTTAGTTCTTGCAGGTGTTTGACAAATTGTTATTGCAAGATACAAACATGTCATTCGGAAGTGGAGCACGGGTCCAGATGGATAAAGGAAAGAAGAATAAAGCAAAGAAGGGAATAAGATCACTACTGTAATTACCACTCAAGTATAATATAAGAGCATAGATAATAATATACATGTGTGTTGTTCCGCCATTAAAGAAGTTATCCCATCTGCTAGCAGGTTGTTGGTATAATTATTTGTAGCCCCAACCCACTTTTGAAGGGGGAGCGGGGTGCAGGGGGATGTCAAAAATTGTCATTAAGGCAATAATAAGATCGAGGCATGACCTATAACCCGTGTCTTGTCTGAAGCCTATGACACAGAGAGAGCAATTTATGTCGATTAATCTCAGATCCTATCACAATACAAGATCAGGGAATAATGTAATGTTGAGACCATACCTTTTATTGAGACGTTGTACAGATGATCTACTGTATGTATCCCAAGGCACGGATGTGTGCTGAATTGTTTGCTAATTATACCAGCCCCCATAGAGTCGAGACTTGCTGGCGGCAAAATAAATACGTGTGTTAATCAAAGCAGGACATTCGCCGTAAAATTATGTTACCCAGCCTCTTGTTGCTTGGCATCCTGTCGACGTTGTCCGTTTGGTCTCTGTTACACACTTCATATTACAATGTATTAAGATTTCAACACACATTATCTGTTTGCCTGTCTGTCTGTCTATTTGATTGCATGCCTGTTTGTCTGCCTTTTCTTCTTCTTCTTCTTCTTCTTCTTCTTCTTCTTCTTCTTCTTCTTCTTCTTCTTCTTCTTCTTCTTCTATCGTTCGATCTCCCTGTGAGCGTGTGAGGTGTAGATTCTGTGTGTGTGTGTGTGTGTGTGTGTGTGTGTGTGTGTATGTGTGTGTGTGTGTGTATGTGTGTGTATGTGTGTGTTTGTGTGTATGTGTGTAAGTGTGTGTGTAAGTGTGTGTGTATGTGTGTGTGTGAGTGAGAGAGAGAGAGAGAGAGAGAGAGAGAGAGAGAGAGAGAGAGAGAGAGAGAGAGAGAGAGAGAGAGAGTAAAGGGGGAGGGGGGTGTTTCCTAGTTTGCCCGATCTAAAATCCGTCAGTCCTCCTGGTACCCTTCTCTTTCCTTCTTTTAACTTCCGATCCGCTCTTAGTTTCGTAAACAGATAACGTATTTCATAGTCCTCCGAAGCGGTGATACAAGACGATGGTTGAAGTGAAGCCAAGCCAAAGTCAAGTACCAGTGTCTTGTTTTGACGAGCCGTACAGACGGATGGCTGTTAATCTTAATATGAAACTGGTAAGACAGCGGTGGCGCTAACAAATTTTATAATACTATTATATAATACTGTACAAGTTGTACATCCCAATCAACACAATATATATCATTTAGGAGGCTGGCTGCTTCGACCCTGCCCATCGTGGCTAACTTAGGCTGAGGGGAACACAACGCCCCAGGAGAGAGACGGAGATGCTTGGTGGAGAGAAAAAAAATTCCCAACTAGAGAACCAAACTCATGTCTCCTGTGTGCCACTGCTGATTATATAGCACCTAACCACTACACCATGTACGCCAGGATAAGGTATTTTGTATTGAAATTGAAGGAACAAAGGGCTGTACTGGTACCTAGTAAAAAGTAAAGGCATGGTAAGGTTAAGCTTGGACCACAGCAACTGCGAGGTATGTTGATTATTTTTTCAGTGTCTTTTAAGAAGAAGACACGGAACACTCAGGTCTATTTTGTTTATTTCCCTCCCTGCTGAGTCTGCCCAAGAAAGGCAGAATAAAGCATACGCGTGTATCATATCTTCCCAATGGCGCGGAGATAGCAAGACGGCGATAACGATGAATGAAACAAAACCAGCAGACTGCTCAGCTCCTTTTACAAATGCCATAACAAGCTTCATTCAGCTCCTTGGTACAGACCTACATGCTCTGGCCATCTCATAAAAAAGTAACGGTAGTTGTTTTACGCTCCTATCAACACAATTTAGATCATTCAGGGGGCTTCCACCCTAACTTTCAGGGCCATCCCAGGTTAAGAAGTATACAGCTTTCCAGGAGAAAGACTTAGACACTCGATAGCGATTCTCTCGATTCGAGAATCGAACTGTGGTTTTCGGTGTGAGACAGCGAAGCGCCTACGAGCTGCACCTCAGACGCTGGTATGCCTATCTTGGATATGTGTACTTGCCATACGGCAATCTTAATGGTCAGCCTAGTTTCTCATGAAAATGTTTCTTTAGTTTACTTTTAATTGAAATTCACACACCAATACTATAAAGCCATTTGGTGTGAAAGAATCAGACTTAGAAGAGTGAACCAAGCGATTGATTGCAAAGTGGTCTGACAAAAAAGACGTCGCGTCACAACTTACTAGTATAAGGGGAAGCAACCGACATGAGTAATCTGCAGCAAGCCTAATGAAACTAAGGTTTTGTCCCCTGGTGTACCAGATCCATTTTGTCAAAAATAAGGTGGGCAGTCCTTTTCAACCCAGCTTGTAATTTTACGCGCCCCTCAGTGAAATGACCTCTTTTGAAAGTGCATGTATCGTTTATATCGCTGGGGTCGATCTTCGGGCTGTTCCTGCGGTTGTTATTCTCAATTCTGTTGAGTGACAAAACTTCCACGATAAACAGCAAGGGAGACTCTGAGTTAATGAAGGTAAAAGTTTGTAATGAGGTGTAAAACTGGTTACTCTTGTAGTAAGACATGCTTGATCACAATATTTTAAAATTTCCATTGCTAGATCTTTTACGACGACTAGATCTACAGGTTGCTTGTTTTATCCAATGCAGGTGGCTTTCAACAAGCAAAAAAAAGGGAAATTGTGGCGTGGAGAAGTGGAAGTTTTTTGTGTAATATTTGAGCTAACTTGCACCTTTTTTAATAACTACAATGCATAGATCTATAAAACTGTCCCAATCCTCTTTCTAGTCCTCTCGCCATCAATTTAACTTTTTTAAAAAGAGAACACATGTAAATGGTAACAACTTGACCATATTATTTGCTCGACTTACAACAACAAAATTCA